ACTCCTTTTCTTTTCTCTTTTTCTTTTTTTTTTTTCTTTTTTTAAACTTTTAACTTTTTTTTCTTTTTTCCTTTTTTTTTGTTCCTTTTTTGTCTTTTTGCTGTTTTGTTGGGTTTTTTTGTCGTTTTTTTTCTTTTTTTACAATCAACACCTTAGCGGCAGTTTTCTCACATACAGTTCACCATCACATTCTCCTCGAGCATCAACTTCAACAGCTATGTCCACGTCCCTTCAGCTACTTTCTAAAATAATAATAAAAAGATACATAGCCAAGATGTGCAAATTTTCTATTCGTAGCTAAATTTCAAAAAAAAAAAAAATAATGGGGCATATACTGGTATAAAAACTTCTTTCAAGTACTCCAATTTTCATATCTATTAACTATGGCGTTTTTTTTTTTCCATGGTTAGACTGCTTTTGAAAATGGAAAGGAAGGGGCCAAATGCACTGCTTGGTTTGGGGTTTGTTCTTTGAAGCGTGTCCTTTTTGCTTTAATAAGCCCGTGTTAAAACTGCAACATCAAGGGTAGAAAGATTTCACTTTTTTTTTTTTTTTTAAAAACAAAAGGGGCGATTGCATTAATTTACAAATCATACTGGCCTTACGAACATCCTCTGCAATAAATATTCTTTTTAGCCTTAACTATAAATTATATATTTTAGTGTTTAAAAACCTTCAGTTGTAAAACATCTAGCGACAACCCTTAAAACTACGTGTCCTATATGTGAACCTTTAAGGCCCCTAAATTTATAAAGATGAGTTGGCACCAAAGGATTCTAAACTTCAGCTTTTCTATAGAAAAGGATAGGAAGATATCCTGGCAATTTGTGAATGCAATTTCTCTCACTGGAACACAACCTTCGGAAAAGAAAATCACTTCTCCTCTAACACCATAGTTAAATGCACTTGCTTTGCAATTCCAAGTTTGCAACAAGCACTTTATATATTTCCAAACCATTCCATTAAAAAAAAAAAAAAAATAAAATTCCCACACAATAAAAGAATGTAATTCCTATATCTAATGGACTGAAAGTGCTTTGAATGGAATGGTTTTAGAATATTACAGACAAACAAAATAAAAAAAAAAAAAAAAAAGACTGAACTGTGGATTGAACCTGACCATAATTAGGCTGAATATCTGTGGGGTCAGACCAGCATTTTTACACAGGTAACTACAAAAATAGGAAGATTACAAAAATATAATATATTATGTCACTATTTCGGTTTCTCTTTATAATAGGGTACTGTGTGAGTAGTACATTGGCCTTTCCCAACAATGCTCAGCTGGAACCCTACAAATGCCTTATGCACAGGCAATCCACAGGCACAAAAAAAAAAAAGATTAACATATAATAATGCTGCATACTAACATAGACTAACTTATGGGTTACGTTAACCATTTATAAGGTGAAGAGGATAAAAAAAAAAAACCTAAGGAAATAAAATAAACATTTACAGATGAATTATAAAGTGACTAAATGCATAAGCAAGCAAGATACAGAAAAGCCTAGAACTGCGTTAAAGCTATGCTTTTTAAAGGAAAAGAATATTTCATTTACTATCTAAAAAAAAAAAAAAAAATAACCCTCTTCTACTTTAAAAATGGTTGGTTGGTTGGTTTTATATGTAAGAAATCAAATCTAATACCTCCCCTGGAGACATTTTGTGTGTTAATGCCTATTTTTACAACATACAGACAAGAACACTTTAATATAAAAACTAGTTGATTATTATTGTATAAAATCCTCTATTTTTGTAGCACAAACCCCTGGGGGTAATGCAAATACTATTTTTTTCTTTTTTTTTTTTAAGACAGTTTTTGGGGTACTTTTTGTTTTATTTTGTTTGTTTGAAGTCACAGATGGAAGGGAGACAGAGCGAGGAAAAAAATATAACAAGAACTGGTTTTCCCTTCTGGTATAAAAATGTCCTGGAGAAAAGGGTTTCTGGGGGGGAGATCCTGACGCCGATTCCTTCTCAGATGCCCTTTCTTTTTTTTTTTGTCTACTTTTCTTGCCAAGCAAATCCATTAGAAGAAGAAGAAGAAGTCCTCTTAAATGTTCACATCTCGCACATCAGTGGGCGTGCAGGAAAGATCTGCTTCGTCCTCTACAGTCTTTGTTTCTGAAGATACGTTGTGCTGCTGTGCCTGACGTAGACTGGATTCAAGGAGGGACTCGATCTGTTCTTGGCAGGCTCGTAAACAATCCTGGAGGAGGTTGAATGGAAGGAGAGAAAGACCCAAGGGTCCTTTAGAAACACGGTAAGGTCACAGACTAAGCAGCATTTCTTGAAAAAAAAGGGCGAGAGGAATCTACTCAGGTCATCTGGGAGAGCTGCAGGCCGAGAGGAGGGCGGGAAGAGCAGGAGGAACACCAAACAGGGAAAGGATGGGACGAGCCACCCAGTTTCCTGCAGGATGCCAGCCTGGATTGAGGCTTCAGCCACTGACTCTTGCCATGTGCTGTGGATGGAATGGCCACGGGGAGCATCCCCATGGACACACCATCACTGCCGTGGGGTTGTTCAGGCTCAGCCCACGGAGCTGGCTGTGGTGGGTGCCCCACTACACTGACACGTGTTTCAGCCAAGCTGGGCAGGACCACAGGAAGATGTTGGACCTTTTCTGCCTGTTCTCTAGAGGTCCATTGGTCCTAAAACTGTGCTTTCTGTCTTTAGCCCAGAAATGCTTTGGCAGTGCAGTCTACTAGAAATGGTGGTCGTAAGCAGGGATTATTCTCTCAGGCTGAGTTCCAGTGATACGAAGTTCTTAGGCAGAAGCACCATATATATATTTGGACATATGTGCCCAAAGGTTCCTGCCAACTGCTGCTGTGTCCAGCAGTGGGCAGCTCAACTTGGCTGATCCTTTCCTGGCTCTGAAAGCATCTGTACATCCAGAACAATGTGACCCCAAAATGGAGAGATCTTTCAGGAGCACCACTAAACTCCTCCATAACCTTTCGTTCCCAGCTGCAGCCAAGCTTCCTGTTGGCTGCCACGTTCACCTTGACATCTCAGACAGGGTGAGATCTTTTTTCCCCCCTCGCTTCCAAAGCATTTCCTCAGAGCTGGATATGCACAACAATCCTCCTGAGCCTTCAGGAGGGTGCAAGGGCCTCGCTGCTTTCACAGACTTCGCTGTGAACTAAAAGCACAAAGCAGCAAGGAGGATCATGCCTATGGTGGGGAAAGGTAACTTCCCCCAGGCACTAAACCATTCCGTGAGTAGTTATATCTAAATCACAGCAATCAGAACTGGAGAAGGCCTAGCCAGTCCAACTTTCTGCAAGCTGTGGAGCCATGTACATCCATTGGAACGACACAGGAACGGTGCCTAATGCAGGCAAAACAATCCCACAGCGTTTTGCCAAAACTCCCCCGGCCAGCTGTTTACTCCTGTCTTTACAACAAACATCGCAGGCTTTTTCCCCCCCAACATATTTAACTCTGTGTATTAAGGACTTTTGAAGTTTCCTTTCAGCATTGCCTTTTCTGATTTAACCTATGACATGTGTTAGCCCTGGCGGTGAACCCAGTCTTCCATGATAAATTGCCGTCAAAAGTGTTAGGATGTGCATGACTGAGAATGAATGTTGTTTTCCTGAGAGGGTGACCTGCCTGCTGTTTTCTTTATTTCCCAGTTTCAATTCTGCCTTCATTCAGAGGCTTCTTGTGTGATCTACCAGCTTTTCACTGATTCCACTACCACAAGAATCTCCTCTGCCACCAATAAGGGCACATGGCATTTGGGGTAAAATAAGATTAGAAACCCAAGCAAACAATTCTCTGCAAGTCCTTTCTGAGAGAGAGGGAGGTTAATCCTACCTCTAAGCAGATCAGACCATCAGTTACAGCTCACTGAAAACACATAACCTATGACCTTTCCTGGTTTAAACCCTAGTGTAATATTTCCTCTTGACAGAGACACACAGCGTTTTAAATGACAAAAAGAAACGCCTCATATCCTAAAGTCATCATGCCTTTGGCTCCTGCATACCTCTGGCCTCCACAATAAGGTCTCTATGAAGTCCTTTTTTCCCCCCCTTCCTCCAGATATGATGGATCAATCCTGACTCTAAAACCTCGTCCTGTACCACGTCCCTCAGTCACACTCGGAATTAGATGTGTTACAGAGGAGCACACCAATGCAGGTTTTAGGTATTTCTGGTTTTACAAATCCAGGCACTTCTGAGGATAATTCTGTTTTAACAAGGTGGCATGTTCAGCGTTCCAAACTGGAAGGAAATTTATGTTCAGAGCAAAATGAACCCTTTTGGGTTTGAGGTGGTTTTCTTTTTGCTTTTGTTTTTGGGGTTTTTTTTGGTGGGGGGAGCGGATTGTCTGGTGAGTTTTGATGGGAATTTTGTTGTGTTTTTTTTGTTTTTTTTTTTCTTTTTAATCCTAACCATTTGCATAGAGCGTGTTTGAGCTCTGAAAACTAAAACCATTCAAAAGAATTTCTATAAATACCTATTCTTCTCCCTCTGGAGTCCAGTTATGAATAGTTGCGTAGGACTATGTAATTTAAAGGTACTTTTTGACCACAGAGTTTTTTTTTCCTTTGAAATTCTCAAGAGTGCAGCATGTCATAACTGTATTTTTTTTTAAACTTAATCTTTACAATTTATTACAAACAGACTGTTTGAAGCTACAGCTGAATGAGAACTATTTTTTCAATGTTTTAGGCATTTTGCTCATTTCTTATTCACAGGACTATTAGATAAATAGTTTGCCTGCAGGAATGCATTAGAGCTAGCAAAAATATCTGCAAAATATAAAATTCGCTATGGGCAACCTCAGCAAAGCTGTTTTCATTCTCAGTGCTTCTCAGCACTGAAAAGCAAATACAGAACTTGTGCGTTACTCTGATAACTTCTCCCAACAACTTTTCTGCTTCACTACCCAAATTTTCAATGCCCACAGTTTGTTCAAGGTCATAAACCCTTCCTGGATTAATTAAGCTCCTCAGTGAAAAAAAAAGAAAAACAACAAACTTACTGGCTTAACTGATGTGGTGAAATACCTTCAAGACACAGCAGACACGATCAGACTCTGGGGTCAGACAGTAAAGGCAACAAACAACAACAACAAAAAAAGAAACTGGAAATCCTTTGTTACTGCCTGACCCGCCCTGGATAACAAGCACATGTTTGAAGGTGCCTCTGAGAAGGGGCAGGCAGGAGACGAATTCCAGTGCACTAACAGACAGCGTGGAGACCCAATCTAATCTAGTTTAGCGAATTTCTGGCCTGGAAATGAATGTCAGGTAAAATTCCATCCGTTCGGATGATGGGGTCAAGAATAGAATGATGGAAGACAGCCCAAGGCTTCTAATTGTGATTATCTGGCTTCTAATTACCCCTGATCAAAGGCAAAATGGGAAATTGGACTCCTACCAACGTAAACATGAACCATAAAGGAATTCCAATCAGGTGATATTCGTTTTACTTTAGATTCAGCTTTCCCTGAGACTAAAGGTAAAAAAGTGTAATTATGTAACCTGAAATCCAACAGACCTGCTGCTCCAGCTAACAGATAATCAGGATCTTAATATTTCAAGGCAATCCAATACAAAGCTTGTTCACTTGTGAAGCCTGACAAGGGGGAACCATCACTGGGGAACAGCACAGTTCACACACATGCTACTGAAACAGGGCAATAGGAATGGCATTTGACACCACGGATTGCACAGATAATGGGAAAGTCTCTCTGCAGGGGAATCATGTTGGGTATGAAACCAGCAGATTTCTCTGCTCAGAGCAGCTGCAGTGAAAGTTGCTGTTCCCTTGTTCCATTACAACGGTATATGTACACACACACATATAATTTTACCATGCTAATTTTCCGTAGCATCCCATATAAAAACGCTTACTCCTACCTCTAACTGCTCTAACACATGCATATATTTAGCACTGAAAGCTGCAGGGGAGTTGCTTCCTTTTAAAGCCTTTAACTAAGCTCAGGTCAGACTGTGGCCTTGCACTGACTACGGACAATAAAAAATGAAATAAGCAAAAAATTCGCTTTCTTGCTAAAACAACCCTTGTTTTCTTTTTAAAGGGCTCTTGTCATCAGCTAAGTCAAGTCACATGAGGACGTGCTGTTGTTCTCCAAGATGTGAGAGAATCTACTTCAATGCTCTGTATCAGGAATGATTATAAACAACGTTGTTTGAATCAAAATACCGTCTGAACAGACAGCAACCCTAGTATTTTCCCTTGGTACCTGCTTCAAACATCTCACGCTGGACAGTGGCCAACCATACCCTGAAATATCTGCATTGTTCCCTGAAAGCATTACACGTACATACCGAACTGAGCAGCGCCTTATTTCAGCATTTCAGGTTCTCAGAGTATTTCACATTTCAGCACTAATGTATCACTGCTTTAGCCACAGTAATACAAATGACAAAAACAACATGCTCGATGCCGAGGCACTGTTAAGGTGATCAAAATGATAAGCTGAGAAATCGTATTTTTTCAGCAATTGTTTCACGTGTTCTACCAAAGGTAAAATAATTCTTCTGTGAGTATTCAGTTATGATGCATTCATCTTTCCAGAAATCACTCAGTCCTGCCAACAAAGTCCCGTTATACAAACCTAGTTTTGCAGTGGCTGGACCGGTACAGTTCTCTGTGCATTTAAAATTATTAACATGTAAAATAATTGAACAGCATCTCAAAGATTCTGCCGCTGACCACAGAGTTGTCTTTATTTGACTCATTGTCCAGCGCTTGGAGACCTCACAAGAACCTTTTTAAAGCATCTATTTATTGGTCTTCCACATTGTTACAAAACAAAGCTCAACTCTGCCCCAACTTCACACACCATTATGACATGGATCATTGACTTTAGGTCTTCCTTGTAGGCTCCCTTCCTGGCCCATTCACTCATGAAAGGTTTATTGCTCACTAGTTACTGATGTGCATCTCCTGGAAGCTGCAGGGCAAAATGAGAGTCCTGTGAGGACCATCTACCTTGTCAGAAAGTCGTGGGACAAGCATTTGTTCCAAAAAGGAATTCAATACCAGCTACTGTGCAGGTCTAGCACGTAATAAACCAAATTAGATCATTAGAACTCTTTTAAGAAGGGCTTTTTCACACCACTTGGCACAATAAAAGGCCTTGAGAATGGTCAAAGATAAGGTCAGAGATACCACGAGGTCTCAGTAACTATTTCCTCGTCTTATTCTCCGAGTTTTGTTTTACACAGACTCCTGGTTTAATTACCCACAGCCCAACAGCCCCTGCAAGGTCCTAAATGGATGCAGGGCTTTGTCAGATAATGCCCCTCTCACACACTTTAGAGCTGGATGTGCCACTGCAGCAGCGTAATCACAGATTATTAATGGATATAATGACAGCCAAATAACCAGGATGGACACAAGAGAACACATTCAAAAACCCCACTCTGTGCTTTGACTTCCATCAAGATTTACTGTCAGATTAGCTACTATGCAGCGAGCAAGGGGGGGGGGGGGTTCATTCTTAAAAAACAGGAGATCAACCAAGAGAAAGAGTCACTTACCGGATCACATTTGATAACTTGTGATAGGAAATGTGTGAGGCATTGATAGGAGAGGAAAGTGTTAGTGTTCCCCAGATGCAGGCCTTGCACAGCTGCTACCACACTGCCAGCTGCGATCATGGAGGGTGGGTTTGAAATAAATTTAATATCTGTATGAAGAAAGGAGAGAAAACAAAAAAAAAAAAAAAAAAAAGAGAAAAAAAAAAAAAGACTGAAATGATTGCTTTAGGAGAAGCCTGTCCATACACATACACTCTTCTACCAGCATGGCTTTCAGCTGCCAACTATTGCATCCCAAAAGGCAGGGAAAGCTGGGAGCAGGAAGGTGCCTCCTGCTCCCAACTGTTACAGGTCCGAACCTGTGAACACTTATCCCCATGAGCAACTGCAGTGCAGTGAGTAGCCCTTCCTAGCACTCCCCCTGGGAGGCCATTCATCACTTGGAGGTATTTTTATCATAAGCAGGGCCCCCATTCTTCAAATGCTAAAATGCTTTGCTCATGTGGATAATGCCACTGGGGTCAATGGCACCATCCATCTGAGAAACCCTGTTCCCATTGGGAAGTGTTTCGCGGCATCAGACCCGAGGTGCACTCTCATAACGAGTCCTCGGGCCCTTTAAAGCAGAAACCTTTGCACTGGCATTCAAAAGGAATATTGCTTTAATGAACAACAACATCAACCAAAAGAAAGAGAAGAGAAAGACTGCTTAACCCTGTCAGGAGGCAGATAATCCATATTTAAATTACGGTTTCATCTTAAAAATGCTTTGTCTCAACCCAGCCTCTTGTCAGTGGCTGCCATCCATCCTGGCAACAGGGATTTAATGTAAATGTGGCATAACTAAGTGACGGGGGTCCCAAGAATTGGCGGACAATCAGTTACATTCTGATGTGACACCATGCTGACAAGAGGCTGGGCCCCCTTCCAGACTGCATTGCTGTAGGTCTCTCCACAAAGCCACTCCCATGATTCCTTAAGGGGCTATCTCTGCCATTTAGCATGTTTTTCGTTTTGCTGTTTTGTTTTGAGGGTGGTTTGTTTTGTTTGGGGTTTTTTTAATAATAATAATAATAATAATAACCCCCATTTTAATGCTAAGACTCTGCTGAGCAGGAATGTGTTTGATCTGTGGCAGTGCACACCTTGGGAGGAGAATCAGAATCAAAGGAAGTTAAGTGGCACAAGTAAACGTCCAATTTTGTGAGGGAGTAAGGGAAATGCCACATTGTACACGAGAACCTGAGATACATTCCTTCAGCTTTTATCAAAATACAACTTCCTCTGGGCTGAAAAAAATATAAACCATCTGTCAAACCCTTGAATGAAATCAAAGGCATGGACAGCTTAGAGGGCTCAGTGGAACAGTTTAAGTATTAAATCATGCATCTCCTTTATTATGATAAAATAACTTTTGTGTCAACGTTTTACCAGTGAAAAACTAAAGACTTCAGGACTCCAGGAAAGTCCTGGCTCTGAGTCTATTCAGACACCTCTGGCACTCCATTGTGGCCCTGACCAATACCCACCTTCAAAGGGGCATTTCGCCCAGTGAACCTCCAAAATTACAACTGACACGATGAATTCTGGCCAGATTTTTGTGATGCAGTGCCAGGGAAAAGGCAAGCTCGACCTAAAGTCATCTCATTTGTGTTACTGTGCTTAAGGTAAATTTAGTTTATCCCCTTTTCCTAATCTGCCCCATTTCCGGGCAGGTGTGAACACACCCAGCTTCCAGCAAGCTGCTGTCATTCCCAAAAACCAAAGCAGTTCCAGGCTGCTCAGTGACAACTGTACACATTCCAAAGGCAGTCCCTAACCGGAATACTGACACACAGCTGCAGGTAGACTTCAGAAATGGGGCATTTCAGTAGGCGAGCAGGAATCCCACCGAGATGGGGTTGCAGCACGTTCACGACACTATTTACCGAGCTCCACAAACAGAACATGACCAAAATGTGTCAGTTTAATGAGTTCTGTCCCTGACAGGACCACGTTTGGGATTAATATTTGCGTTCTTCTTTTAAATGGAGCAGTAAACAAGAACATGAATTCATAGTCACACCCTCATTCTTTCCAAGGTGGAAAAGTGATAATGAAGTTTAAATGACCAGTTTGTGTCTGTCCCTATAACCACTCCAGACAAGCAGCATGGACTGCCTTTTTGTTGCAACTCAACAAGGAATTATTTGTGGCAGAGGCCACTAATTTCAGCATATTAATCAGGGGGCCCCTCTCGCCTGTAATTGGATGCCCCCAAGTGAAGAGTGTGGCATCATTGTCAGCCTCCATCGCCTCATCTTGCGCTATTGAGCGCTCAGGAACAAGGGGGCTTCGGTGAGATGAATTAGACCTGACACAGCCACAATGGGGTAGGGGGCCCCATCAATTGAAGCACACATCCCCAGTAGCCTATCTGAGACTTCATCCAAAAAGAATAAACAACTTCAGCGTTGTTAAAAAGAGAGAGAGAGAGAGAGAGAGGAGGGGGAGGAGAGAGAAGAATGCCAGCCACCCTGAAGGGAGGACAAAGCAGGCATATAGGCGCTGCAGCGCTTTAAAAAAAATTCCTAACAAGGCGAGTCACCCCTTTTCCTTTTTAAATGGAGCAGCAATTCCATCCGTCTGGAGAGCTGGGGGCTATGAATGAAAATCTTTTCATTGAGGCAAATCAAAACTGCGAACATAAATCACTTGCTGCAAGATGCAACAGGTTCCAACTGGTCACATACCTTGAGACTTCCAATTTTATAAAGGCCGGAGAATAGGAGGATTGTAACGCGCTTGTTTCAAAGGGGGGACCTTTCTTTCTCCGTCAGCAATGACAATAATAATAGCAATAATAATAATAATAATAATAATAATAATAATAATAAAGAGGAGCCCGGTATGTTTTGATAACCAGAGGAACATAATGAAATGCTGAAACTCCAATATTTGTTGCTATTCATTGTTATGCTTGTATAGAGCTGCAGTTCTCCCTCAACACTGGTCTTAACTTGGGCCAAAAGAGGCCTGCTTCCTTTTGAGCTCTCCCTGCCTTGCTCGGCCATGCCAAAGCCCCATTCATTAAGCTCAATTATGTGTTAACTTCAAACAACCCCTGGTAATTTTTTTCTTTTTTCCTTTTTTTTTTTTTTTTCTTTTTTTTTTTTTTTTTTTTTTGCTTTTTCTCCCAAACCTACCACAGCACAAAGGCATCCTTTGGTGAAAATGGATTTTTCAAAACCAAACCAAATCAAACAAATCCACTTCTACTAGCCAGACAACTGAAGAGGGAGCTTAAAAGGAATTCCCCTCAACTTCACCTTGCAGCGTAACCTTCTCTTTCTGGAGCAAACACATGCAGCACTCATCTGCAAACACTTCCACAGCCTTCACCTTGTTAAGCCAACTGGCCAAGGCTTTATTTTCTAAGCAAGCATTGTTCTGCAGTCTCTTCTTAGGAGAACCTCCTTTACAGAAGAGGACACAGGCAAAGGATAGACTTGCACTTGCCCCTGAGGCCACTTAAGCGAGTGTCAGTGCTTCCAGTGGACTTTGGATTGGGCCCCACAGCATCCAGGCAGCACAACGCGTTTGCAGTCCATCTCGGTTCATTTTGGCAAGGGGAGACACAACACAACCCAGCAGCAGCAAAGCAAAGTCCAGATGCTGCTTAAGCCACATGTGATCTTCACTAGCCAACAAAGGAGGCACGAGGAAAGCAAAAAGGTAAGAGGAATTCCTGACATCCAAAAATAACAGTTAAAACCACAGGGCCTGGTGGCAGCCTTCCTGAGCGCTGCTTCCCCAGGCAATACTCCCAGCTTCAGTAGGGAGCTGAAGAGGGCCCCAACTCTGGTGAGCTCAGCACTGGGTTTTGTTTTTTTTTTTTTGTAAAAAGCTAAGTAAAACTCCCAGAACATGGTTCTCATTTACTGATCCATTCTCCAGCTGTGGTGTGCAGCAATGTTAAATAAGGGCTCTGGATGTGCTTCCTAAAAGAAACATAACAACACCGACAGTAGATCAAAGTACTGGACTCTTAGCGAGCCTCCAACCTTTGAACTACCCTTGTTTTCATCCCTGTCATTGCCAACACAACAACCTAGGTTAAACATCCCCATATCCAAAGGGGAGGCCAGGTAGCTGCTCCTTTTAGCTAAAGGCTGAGGAAGCTTCACACTTAGCAAACCACACGTTCAGAGTGGCTGCAGCCTTATCTGGCAGGACCTGGCAGAGTTACATTGGAGAGTTACACGGAGAGTTACAATTGATTTTCCCAAAATGCTGCTGCCTTGTGGTTTTGAAGGCTGTTTGGAGGCTTCTAACACCGAGCATTATTCCAGGCAATCTAACCTGTTATGCTGATGTTAGGGCCAAGATGAAGAGCAACGCCAGCGTTTATAAATTTCTCTTTTATGGCTCGGCCGTTCTATCTTTAGGCCTTGCAGTAAGGGCAAGGACTCCGTGAAATAAATTTTGGTGGGTTTTGTTTTGGGGGTTTTTTTGGTGTTATTTATTTATTTTTTTTCCCCCTTCTGAGCGCCTGCAATCATTCTTCCACCTTTTCATACAAGGAAACTACAGCGGCGTTAATTCCCGCCGCTGGCCACGCGCACGCGTCTCTCCCTCCCCGAGGTTTTTTCCAAAGAGCGTGGATACCACTAACTCGTGGATACCACTAGCTCGGCATCTCTGGAGGCCCGTCCCTGCTCATGGCTCCAGCACAGCACGTGGTCAGGAGGGTGCAGATGGCAGCGGCTCGGTCCCGTGCCAGGAAAGCCTCTGTGCCGCGTGGCCCTCCTCCAATCCACCAGCCACCGAGAGGGGAGGGAGGGAGAGGGGGGGGGGAGGAAGAGGCAACTTGAAGAGGGAAGTTTTAAAACCCCCCGCGCGGAGCTATTCACAGGCCAAAAAAAAAAAAAAAAAAAAAAAATCTCCCTGCCCGCCTTTAAAAACTGTCTCAAGAATGAATCCACACACACGGGGAGGGATTCCCCCGTAAGCCTTTTGCAGCCCCCCGCATCAACCCGATGTGTGCGGGAGGGCGAAGAAATCCTGCCACGAAGAAATTCTGCCACGCTGAGAGGGGCCGGGGGGGTGGGGGGGTCCTTCTCCCTCCCTGACAACAAGCACAAACCCCAAAAGCTCAGAAGGCGAAATATCTTCTGGAACGACAACGACAACAACAGAAAAACTTACCTCTGGCAAAGTAAATCCGCCTTCTGCAAACAAGGGGCAATAATCGGGGCTTAAACTACCTCCCCGCAGCTCTGGCGAGCGCGCCTTAGACCACGGCTACGGGAAGCTTTACAAGGCGGGGGGTGGGCGCGGGTCGGGGAAGCAAAACACGCTTTGCGGGACGTGCAGGGCTCATACCTGTAGCGCACAGAGCCACAAAAGTCTGAGCATGTTTACGGATGATCTGCTTGGTGTCCTCTGCCAGAGGCATTTTAGTGAGGAAATGTTCAATGAAATCGTGGGGGGTCATTGCGGCCAGATTCCATTTCAGCTTATTCACCAGCAGCAGCTCCATTTGCTGCAAAGAGAAAGAGGGAGGGGAAAAGGGGAGGGGGGGGGAGGGAAGGAGAGAAGAGGAAGGGGAAGAAGAGGGGGGAGAGCGTGGTTAGAAAGCCGCTGGCACACGGGCGCACCGCGGCGGGGCCGGTCGGCTCCCGGCCGGGCTTGGGAGGGCAGAGTTTTCCCCGGGGGAAGAAGGAAAGCGGGACGCGGGTGTTTTTTGGGGGGTCCCCCCAGGCGGGGCCGGGGGCTCCGGGTCGCCGCACCCCCGAGCGGGGCCACCAGGGGGAGCCCGCGGGCCGCCCACGGGGCCGGGGGAGCGCGGGGGGGTCCCGGTCCCTATCCCGGCCCCATCCCCGTCCCGCTCCCTATCCCAGCCCTCCCGAGCCTCCGCAGCGGCCACACCGCCAGCAGCGGGGCTTCCGAATACACCGTCTTGGCCCGTGTGGTTGTGTTCTTTCTTTTCCCTTTTTTTTTTTTTTGGTTCTTTTTTAATGTTTGTTTCGATTTTGGTGGTGTTGTGTGTTTTTTGTTTTTGTTTTTTTTTTTTTTTTATTCTTGAAGTGACTAAACGTCAAATTACCAGTAATTCGTCGGGTCTAATGGAGTTATCTGTATAAATGCACAGTTTTTCTGCGGTCAGAGGAATAGTCTCCTTCATTTTTGAAGCCACAAACATGCAGGTAGCTCCGAGCAGTTGCAACCGGCTTTTCTTGAGGGGTTCAAACGACAAAAATCTGTCCAAGTAATTCATAGCCAAGGGGAAAACTTCCTCTTCGCACTTTTGCTCCTCGCAAACCTGAAAGAAGGAGAGAGATCGTTGAAGAATAATTTAATAGAGGCGAAAGCCAGGCTTGTCCCGCTGCCCTCGCCCTCCCTCCTCCCTCACCCTCAGGCTTTGCAGGGCAAGGTTGAAGGAGACGAGGGGAAAATGCAGTGGGGGAAAAATGGGATAAATATGGGAAAACCAGCGGCACCAAAGAAAATGAAAGTCACGAGTGACAAAGTGGGGGGAAATGTTGCGTTAGAAACCCGCAGGCGATTCATGGCAAAAAGGGAGGGGGGGTAATCGAAGAGGAGGTCTGTGCCCAGTTTTCCAGCCCCTAGAACAAATTTTTAAAAAGGAAAGAAAATGGAAAGCGGAGGAAAATGCAAACCCCCGTGGTTGGGAACGGGGTGCAGAGCTGGGCTTGGCCCCGGATTTATTTATTTCGCTTTTATTTTTTCATCTAATTTGCCGTTGTGCTGCCGATTCCCCTCTCTGGTCGAGACACAAAGGTGGCGTCCAGCCTCATTTCCCCAGACGTCATCTTTTCAAAAAATATTTAAAAATATTTAAAAATTTATTTGAGCTCTCAAAAACGGCTGAAAATGAAGCGGCGGGGGTCCTTTACCGAGCCCCGTTCCTCTGGTGCTGCTGGGGGGCTCCAGGGGGGTCCCCCGAAGTGAAATTCACCGCCTCCCTCTCTCGCCCTGCAGCACAGCCGGGCGCGACATTTCCCAGAGCAAGGCAGGGCGCTGCGCTTTCAAAAATTAATTAAAAATACATCGCGGGGGCCCAGGGCTTCCGAAAAGGCATGAAAATGTAGCCCAGCTCCTGGGGCTCCCGCTGGGAGCCCCCCCAGACGTGTCCCGCCAGGGACGAGGCCCTTTCCAACTGGCTTTTCCCAGGCGACCTTGCCGCTCGCCGCCGCAGCACAAGCGTGCCTTTGAGGGGTGACCGCAGCTCCAGCCTCTCTTCGCGCTGAACAAAGAAACTTTCACCCTGCAACTCCCCCCAGAAACGCCGGAGCCCCTCCGGCCGGTCCCCCTGCCCGCAGCCCCAGCGGGGTCCCCCGGCCCCCCGACCTTCCTCCCGCGGCCCCTTCCCCCGCTCCCCCCCGCCACACACACACACCCCCTTGGCTTTGCTCCCCGGGACTTTCTTCGTTTTTTCTCCCGATTAATAAACACTTTTGCTTTGCAAATAAAAGAACAAAGATGGCGCATAATACTGGCACGGGCAGCCGCTTGCATACGTGTACAAGGATATTAATTTAAAATAAAAAAACCCCCCAGAACACACGGGCTGGCAGGGGCGGGCGCCGCCGGGGGCTGCGGGGCCGGGGCCGCTCCCCGGCGGGCCGGGGGAGCCCCGAGCCGGCTCTGCCCGGAGCTCCCCGCAGCCGGGACCGCCGTGCCCCGACGGCCGGGAAAGGTGCCGGGGCACCCCCAGACCCCCGGGGGCACCGGCAGGGTTGGGGGGGTGTTCCGTGTCCGGCGGCGGCAGCGGGGACCGGGGGCCGGCGACAGCGGCGGCGGCGGCGACCGTGTCCTCGGGCCGCTTCCCCCCGGTACACGCGGGCGTTTTCGAGGGCAAGACAACGTGTGCCCGCGCCGGGGAACCGATCCCAGGGGACGGGATGGGGGCCGGGGGGGAGGGGGGGGCAGGAGATGGGGGAGCAGCTCCCCGGGTTAATTCGTTTCGGTGCCGAAGCTTTGCAAAAGGGAAAATCCCCCGAAAAGATACGAACCTCCAGCATCCAAGTGGCAACTATTTTCCTCATATATGGCAAGATTTCTTTCTGCACGCACTTGAAGTAGGAGACGGAGGGCGAGCAGGTCTCCTCCGCCTTGAGCATTGTCTGCAGCACCCTGTCATTGAGGAGGTTGGCATCCAGGTAGGCTCGTCGGATGGTCTCCACCTCGCAGCACAGCAGCTGATGTTCCATGTCTGCCTCCGTCGCCTCGAGTCAGTTCTCTGCAGCAGGACTGAGTCAGTCGCTCGCTCGCTCTCTCTCTTCCCCTTCCAGGAGTCCCTTGGATGCTGCTTCTGCTACTGCCGCTACAGCCCTCTGGAGGCTGCAAAACTTTCTAACTTCCAACAAAACTCTCCTGTATAGTCCCTGTGACGTTACTGTTGTTAAGCAGAGATCAAAGCACGAGAGAGAATGAGAAAGAGAGAGAGAGAGAGCCAAAAGCAAGGGGCAGAGCCCTAAAGCCATCCCATAGGCTTCAAGTCCTTCCCCTTTGCCTAGCTTATAGAGAGCCGGGGTTTAATGCAAATGAGACAAGGGCTCGCTTTCTTCAAGGGCAAGGGAGAGGTGGGGGAAACCCAAATTGTCTCTTCAGTGGATCATGCATAATTTTAAAAATGGAGCGAGTTCTGCACTGGGAGCCAAATGATGAATGGGGCTAAGGCCACACACAGACACCAGGGAGGGAAATACAAGGAGACTCGGTATTATTTTACGGGGGCGCCGGGGAGGGGAGCGGAGCAGTTACCAGTGCGTTGCTGTTCGTTATAAATTTATTAGTATTATTATTGCTGTCACCGACGTGTACCTGCCATATCTGTCCTTTGAAAAGACACACTCCCAACCTGAACGCCTACTCTTTGCAGTTGATCCCAAAGGGAAAAGCTTTCCCCCGTTTCCTCACTCCTATTTTTTTCCCAGCCTGGACGGTTTTGCTGCGCACCAAAACCTTTAAAGGACTGGGGCGTCCACACCTCTGCCAAGATGGTCCTTTTTCTAATATTCCATAATTTGCTTAATTTATTTTTTTTTTAATTATTAACGTGTTTCCTTTCACTTTAAAGGTTTCACCCTCCTGAGGGGGCACGGAGGTGGCAGGGGACAGGGCAAGGAGAGCTGATCCGGCGGCAGCGCACGCGGGGAAGGCCGCGCTCGGCACCCAACCCCCACGGCTCACAGCCACCCAGAAATAAAATATCCCAGCAGAGCAGCAAAATGGTGGCCAGGGCTTCCTCCAGCACCTACAGGGAGATGAGCTGGGGGAGTGGGAGGGAGGGAGGTGCTGGCAGCCGCCGGAGCCTGCTGGGGCCTCATCGGACGCGCGGCGTCGCCAGGACAGCCTGTCCACGCGTGATGTGGCCCCGCCGTAAATAACTCCCATTCCCCGGCCCAGCTGCCTGTGTCTGAAAACGCTCGGCTTTGCCTTTTCTATTAAAAAATAGTACCCTCTAAACTCTCACTTTTTGAGGGGCTGACAGGGGAGCTCGAGGCCCGCTGGAGAGCGCCGGAGGCGAAGCCAGTGCATGGGAGAAACGACTTGTCCTGCACCGAAGCGGAGTGGGGAGAAGTGGGAAGGCCATAAATTGGGGGTCACGCTGCCTTTCTGCTGCCTGCCCCTCAAAACCGGAGCGCTGGGATTAACCTCAGCCTCGGCACTTCAGCATCACCCAGGTGCTGCACCCGATAGCTGGAACACCTTCTGGTGGCACCACACTCAGGGCAGCATCGCCAGCCGGTGTCAGGGCAGCAGAAGGGGCTTCTGGCCATGGAGGACACGCCGTGGAGGACATGCTGTGGGAGGACATGCCATGGAGTCACGCAGCATCTCTCCTGCGTGACCTGCAGGGAAAGCAGTGCCAAAGATCACAGGGCATGTTGTTGCACAGTTGGGTGTTTACATAATCTCTGTGCACGGACTGTCTGCCCATCTTTTCTAGTTTACTCGTTTGCTTGACCATTTGTCTCCATTTTGTCTTCTGTCTTTTAGGAGGAGGAGGATGTCGGAGGCCCCACGATCTCAGTTCCCCTTGCATGCCACAGCCCCTGGGGCGACCCGGAGGGTTCCTCAGCGAGGAAGCCGTGCCCTGTCCCTCCGCCTGTCCTATTGTGCCTCACGCCCAGGACGTGCACTTCTGTTTTCACAACTTCAGCCGGAGGGGAAGGTTTTCAATTTTTAACGGAGAAACACGCCACGACCCTGCACTCTCGGGCTGGAATTGGCCCTTCCCGCAACGCGCAACCCGGCGACCCTATTTAACTGACTGCCATGCACGACCCAGGGACCCTATTTAATGGACTTCCCGGCACTCCCAACACTTTTCTAGGGAGCAGCTTGAGGGCGTGCAGGGAGAGCCTTTGGGGCAGCCGCTGGATGGTGCCTCTCTGCCTCCAAACAGTCGCTCCCGGCCGCGTTGCCCGGAGCGCGGCTCCCGCTCCCCCTCGCCCGGCGCTGCACCCGCGCCTCGGCATCCTCGGCATCCTCTGCTCCCGGTCCCTCCCGGTCCCCTCCGGTGGGGCAGAGGGGGGTTTTTCCCCCCCTGCCCGAGCACGCGGCCGGTGTTTCATTCATAAAAGCGGCTGCGCGGCGGGCGGGCGGTGCCGGCGGCGGGCGGGGCTGGCGCGGGGCCCGCGGAGCCCCCGCGGGGGCGGCGCGGCCGCAGGAAGCGGCGGCGGCGGGAGCCAATGGGGCCGCCGGGGCTGTTACCGGGCGGGACGGGCAGATCTCGGACGGGGCTCCTTCCTTCGCCCGGTCCCGCCGACACACAAAGGGGGGACGGGCCGGGGCATCGCAGCCGCGCCGGTGGCACCGCCGCGCTCGCCGCCCCCGCAACCCTCGGGGGCGGCCCCGCCCCTGCGCCCGGTGCCCGCGGTCCTGGGTGCGCTCCCGCCCGCCGCGGGGTGCGCGCTGGGCGGCCAGGGACGCCTCCTGAGCCGCGCATCCCGCTCCGGCACGGCGCTCCCGCGGGATGCGGGATGCGAGATGCAGGATGAGCGCTGCTGCTGCTGCTGCCGCCGCCGCCCCGGGGGGCTTCCGACGGCGCTTCCTTCCTGCCCGCTCTCCCTCCCTCCCTCCCTCCTTCTCTGCCCGCCGCTCCCCTCCCCGCGGCGCCCGCCCGCTGCCGGGGACGCCGCCACTTTCTCATGATGTCATCCCGCCCCCGCCCGGTGCGCGGCCCCGCCGCCGGGAGCGCGGCCCCGCCGCCGGGAGCGCGCATTCCTGGCGTGCCGCCCGCCCGCCGTAATGTCGCGAAGAGCCGCGCAGCACCGGGGCGGGGGGGGGAGCGCCCGTCGGGGAAACGACCCCCCGCTCACCGCCCCCCTTCCCCTCCCACCGCACCACCCCGCTGTGCATCTGGAGATCTGCGTCCAGTTGTTCTGCGCTCCTCGGTGCGAGAAAGACCGAGGAAATGCTGGCGGGGGTCCAGCGCAGGCCGCGAAGATGATAAGGGGTCTGGAGCATCTCTCTGATGAGGAGAGGCTGCCTGTTTAGTCTGGAGAGGAGAAAACTGGGAGGGGATGTCATTAATGCATATAAATATCTCCGGGCCGAGTGCCAAGAGGATGGTGCCGGGCTCTTTTTAGTGGTGCCCAGCGACAGGACGAGGAGCAGTGGCCATAAACTAAAACAAAGGAAGTTTCCCTCAAACCTGGGGAAGAACTTCTTTACCTTGCGGGTGGCAAAGCACTGGGTGGGACAGGTTGGCCAGAGAGGGCGTGGAGTCTCCCTCTCTGGAGACATTCCAAACCCACCTGGATGCATTCCTGTGTCACCTGCTCCGGGTGACCCTGCCTGGGACTGGGTGATCTGCAGAGGTCCATTCCAACCCCAGCTGTTCTGCTGTCCCCCACCTTCACCCAGTGCCGACCACAGCCATGGCCAAAACCACAGGGCAGCCGTGTGGGGCCTGTGGAATGAGGAATTTGAAGAAGCAAAGCTCACAGAAAGTTTCTCTGGGGGAACCATTGCCAAGCTGGGGAGAGGCACAGGTGTGGGTGGGAGGGAGGGTGAGAATGGCCAGGGTATCCCGAGGTGAGGAGGTGTCACTGGTGGGACTGACAGATCCAGAGCCAATGGAATTTAGCTCAAGTTTGTCCTGGATACTGGAGGTAAGGAAGTGGAGAGGAGAGGCAAAAGGGCTAAGGGTAGGGGAAATAAAAGGAAGGAAATCTTTCTTCATCAGGGGGAAATCTGTTTGGCCATGCCAGAAATGCGCCAGTGGAAGGAGAGGCACCAGAGGAAGCCTGGGAGACAGTAACAAGGTGAGTAAACAATGTCCTTAAGCAGCAACATCCTCAAAGTGAAAGTGGTTCCGTGGAAAATATTTTGATTTTGAAAAGAGCAGCTACAGTTTTTGTTTTGCTCAGCTGACAGTATGTTTTGGTAACACACCAGCACGAAAATGACTGACATGGACGCTGGTGTTTGGTAGGGATTTGTGAGCCATGAAAAAGCACGTCTTAGCCAGCCAGAGCATTGAAACTTGATTTACAAGGTAGAAAAGGAACATTTTCTCCATTCTCCACACTGACACTTGCTCTGTGTAGTATGGCAAGGCAATTTAAAGGCACATCATAACTACTGCTAGAGGTTATGTTGTTGAATTGGCTTTTGTTAGTAGGTTTTGAAGAGCAATGTTACTGTTTTTCATCGCTCTTTTCTTCAATATTGCAAACCAAAAAGCACGGGAAGATGATCGGTGGCGATCGTAGGTTCAGATCTGCTCCCACTGAAGTCAGCCCTGATTGGGTTGCTGTAACGGGAGATTGCTGATGGGTTGATGTGCTTGGGGCGGGGGACAGAGAGTTTACTGGAAGGATCCCAACTCTGTGTTAGTCATGAGTGGCAGAGCCCTCATCAAATTTTGCAGAGTACCTTGCAGAATTCCCAATAGGTGACAGTAAGTAAGTAAGTATGTATCACATACACTGCAGAAATGCTGTTTCAGGAAAGTCTTCAGTGTCTTCTTCTTATATTTTGTCTCCCTCTGCCATAAAAAGATGCACCAGTAACCATGATCCAGGCTCTCGGGTAGGCTGGGCTGGTGGGGTAGCTCCATGGAGGCAGATTTGCTCCCTGGCTCCAGAGAGAGGTGGCTGCAGGGATCAGTGCACATTCCTCTGCTCTCTTCTGTGCAGTAAAAAAATGTGATGATAGGAGTTTATTTTGGGGCTCCCTGGTCTAAATACCAACGAGATCTGGCACGGTTTTTGTCGCTGCCTCCACCATCCATTCTCCAGCTTTCCCAAAGTCCATGCAGCCACACACTGCACTTCTCATGTCAGTCCACTGCCCTATCCACTCTTTTTCCACTTGCCTGAAAGTGGTAAATCTGCTCGCAGCACACCCTCTGAGTAAAAGTGGTCCAAATAACCTCTGGGGCCAGGTTTTTGTGGGTGCTCTGCACTTCTCTAACTCCAGTTTAAGTCAGTGGCAGTTCTAGGAGTCATTTCTTCAGTAAATCAGGC